CCGCGCGGCTGCTCTTCCCTCAGCGCGGGGGGAAGGCCGCCCTAAGGCCGGGCCGGCGCTGATGGCGCTCTTCTGCCCCAGGGCCGCCAGGATGTCGGTGTCGCACAGCTCCAAGCTGAACAAGGCGGTCAGGGACCAGTACATGAAGCTGCCCCAGGGCGGCTCCGTCCAGGTCACTTACGTCTGGATCGACGGCTCGGGCGAGGGGCTGCGCTGCAAGACCAGGACCCTGGACCGCGAGCCCAAGAGCATAAAAGGTGAGGCTGGGCCTGGTGGCTTGGAGCCACCGCGCTGGCCCTCTGCTCTGGGTGGGGAGCGCCGTGGTGTGTGCACATCTGTTATGGGGGGGGGGTTGTAATTTTATTTTAATAGTGCAGTGCATGCAGGGAGCTTCTTACCCCTCTGAGGATTATACAGCATGCATGAGTGGAGCTGAGGCTTGTTTTCATCCGGTTGTATGAGGTAGTGAACAGCCAGTTTCCTTCAGAATAGCTGGTTTGCTAATCTCTAATTTTTCTACCATTAGACTCAAGAGAGAAGCAAGGGGGGGGTCCCAAGGTCCCTTTCCACAGGGCAAATGAGCAGAGTTGGCTTGTGATGCGACTTGTCTGGCTGCTGTGGGCAAGTGACCCCTGCATAGTTGAGTCCTACTCGGCTGTAATAGCGATGGTGACCCTACCCTGGGTGGCTTAAGTGCCTTGAGTGTTGAAAATCCAAATCCAGTATCTCCTTTTCACCAGCCAAGCAGATGCTGGAGGCAGTCCCTAATTCTTCCTGTCCCCCACCTTTATAATTGGAGGGGCCACCGTTGTGAGCAGTGGCTGAAAGATTGGCCTCCAAGCAGATATAGTAGAAGCAACAGCTCCACTGATTTCCTTGTGAAGGAGTCCTCAGTGGCGTGTCTGGGTGGGTAATGGGGTGCGTTCTCCTTGGGATCTCCATCAATGCAGCAATTTGGGAGGCTTACTGCGAGTTGTCTTCTGCTCCTCTCGCCCCCAGACATCCCAGAATGGAATTTTGATGGATCCAGTACGGGCCAAGCAGAAGGCTCCAACAGCGATATGTTCTTGATCCCAGTCAGGATATTCAGAGATCCTTTCTGTCTGGACCCTAACAAGCTAGTACTGTGTGAAGTCCTGAAATACAACAGAAAACCTGCAGGTGAGGATCTTGTGCATTTGCCTAAGGTGGTTGTTACTGGGATTGGTGTGCTACCAGACGGACCCGTGGGTGGTTTGCATGACAGCATCAAAACGTTCAGTGCCTCTCGAATGCTGAGCACCCAAAAACTCACTAGGATTCTGTGGGAAGCTGCAGGTGCTCCGTGGCTGATCACGAACTGACCTGTGAGAAGTGAATATATTGCTTAGGGCTGCAGAAATCCTATATCAGTCGGTATCGGCAAGTTCTGCCTTAGCGCATAGTGCAAGGGCAAGGGGAATTCTATTGTCTGGCAAAAAATAATGCTAATATTCTGCATGCTTCTTGTCAGCAGAGGTCGCCACATGTCTCGCAAATCAGACATCCCAAAAAAGGGATCTGCCCTTTAATTCAACAGCTCTTTGGAGCCTGCATTTGAGAACATAAACTTGATGATTAGTAGTTTACAACCCTGAAAGCTGTAAATCTGAAACGTTCAGAACTCTTAAAAACGAGCTTCACGTCTCGGCTCATAATGTAATGCTTGTAGCCCTGGTTCAGCACCATGTTCACAGCTACTTCGTTGTTGCTTGTACAAAACTCCGCTTATTTGCGTTAAGGCAACTAGCAAGAGCCAGATCTGAATCTGAATGCGAGTAGCAACGTCTTTGGCTGTACTATGGCTTTATCCTTCTTTCTATTCTGTTCTGGGCAAAGGGAAATATGAGGTCTGATGGAGGGGTAGCAGAAGTCGGTCATCTGGTTGTCCTAGGTGTATATGAAGAAGTTGATCCCTGTTCTGCAACTAACCTAGATACATAGTGTGAAAGTTAAGGAGGTAGATCTGGGAAGCATTTAACTTGTAATGAAGAAAGGGGTAGCATGGCTTCTGTGAGAGGATTTGTGGACAGAGATGCCTTCTGGCCAGTAAGAGAGAGGAGGGTTACATCTCCAGCCTCAACTTGAGGGCCTGACTTTGTGACCATGTGCTAGTCCTCCTTAGGGGTGGAGGTCTGTGAGCTGTCATAGCTGAAGACAGACCTTAGTTGGTGTTGAAATACTAATACCCATTTTTCCCCCCTTTGTGTGAAGTACTGCAGTCTTAACTTCCTGACTTGATTTTTTGGAAGCTACTCGATTGTTTTGCTAGTATGAGCTCTACTTCCCTTCTAACCAAGGCCATTCTCAAAGAAAAGCCGTTCTCTTTGGGTAACTGTTCAATAGCATGAAGGCTTGATATGGCTGGAAAGCTCTGTCCTGGGTCTGTTCACATAAATCTGGGTTAGGAAAAGTCTGAAAGGAGACTGTGCCATATATCAGGATGATCCTAATGCTTTACAAACACCAATCCCCAAGCTGTTAGCATAGACCAATTCATTTGAGTGGCAAGGATTTTTGTGGGTATTATCCTTTATTGGACCAGCTGCATGATTGGGAAAGAGTTAGAAAAGTTTTCAGTGCACTGCAACGTATGTCTAAGTCTGTCCCAACCATGAAGCTGGTCCAATATGATAGCACCCACAAAAATCCCTGCCTTAGCTTATTTCTTAGACCATCATGGCTAAAACATCCCTATCAGTGTGTGGTCCAAAAGCTTACTTGTTTTTTCTTACTGTCTAAATGCTTTAAGTGGGCATGCTCTAAAATGAAATTTCATTTGCTCCTCTTCCCATTAGTTCAAAATGGTGCAACTGGTGTGATTACTAGAATCGTAAAAGACCTAAATGTTAAGGTATCAGTTACTGCCTGGAGGCTGCCTCTCCTTAGGAATAATAATGCTCCATTTGCCATGTCTCTCCTCCTGCCTATATTCTTGGTTTCACAGCGTGTTTAGCATTCGCACAGTCTTGCTTGGGGATCCATATCTTCATGACAATCAGGGTTGTTCTGGTTTCCTTTACTACCACTCTGAAGGAGAGGTTATGGTGACTTCTTGCAGGAGCTGATTGTGGGAATCGTGACTTGTCTATCAGTTGTCCTGGATGCTTACCAAGAACAACATAGAGAGGAAAGAATGCACTGGAAAAAGCTTGGTTTTAGGGGCAGGTACACAGGGTGGAAAGGTTAAGGAGCTAGACTGGCAGTGAGAGGGATTGGGTATGCACCAATCCACTGTGTCACCTTGGGGTACATTACATAATCTCTCTGTACCAGTCGGTGAAAGGAAAAGAATATTTGCCTACTGGTGGTAATGGTTCTAGTGATAAGCTAAGTCCATACGCACAGGGCAGATAGCCAGGTGTTGAGGAGATGGGGTAGTTATATGACTACTTAGATATACGTTTGGGGATTTTTGTGCAAATTTTAACGGAATGGGTTTAAACAGAGTCTTCATTTATAAATTGCATGCACATTTTGATATGAAATTCTGAAATCTGCTGTATCTCTAAGTGGGCAGAGGAGAAGGGAAACCTTATATAACAGGTGTTACTTTTCCTTATTCCTCGTGTTGGATTAGATGTAGCAGACACTTCCAAGCTCAAACAAAGCACAGGGATTTATAAACCTGTGGCATACAGAGAAAGGTAGGATTATGGGTTGTTAGTAACCTGAAAGGCATTGCTTGCAGAATGCAAACAAGGATGGGAGATCAGCTGCAGGACAGCCCTCAGTATAGTTCACAAGGATCTTTTGCACCAACTAAAGTCTCTTCAAGTAAGAGAGAGCCTCAAGTGCTTGTCTGAATTGGAAGCGCTGGAGGGTGGATGGTCCCAGGGTGTAAGTGTTGAAGGTCTAACAAGAAGATCTCTCCTTTCCAGAGACCAACCTGAGGTACACCTGTAAGAAAGTCATGGACTTGACTAAAGACAGCCACCCTTGGTTTGGAATGGAGCAAGAATACACACTGCTGGGGATCAACGGACACCCGTACGGCTGGCCTGATAATGGGTTTCCAGGTCCACAAGGTAAGAGGTAGTTACTTCTTCCTCAAACATGCATGCAGAGCTCGTCCACTGCTCTAGTGGGTCTTTTTTCTTTTCTTTTTTTTTTAATACTGACTGGCAAGAGAGATCTAACCCTGGAAGGTGTCGAACACTCCTGGCTCCTGTCTGCTCTTACAAATGTTAAAGATAATCCATGCTTCACAGAAACTGCCAAGATCCAAACCTATCCAGAAAGATGCACCTGTGATGCCTCCCTGACCAGGGCCCCCAAACCTTCCATAAGAATTACAAGGGGAGAAGCCAGTGGGACTCAATGCAGGGGCTGCCTTACGATATTGGCTCACAAAACGTGTTCTCACTTGCTTGAGTGAGAGAAACCAAATGAAAGCATCTTGCTTGGGAGCCTTTCCCACTTCTGCAGCAAACTGGGACTAATGGGTAGATGACCTGAGCTTGCTTATGCAGCTGCTCTTCTCACTTCAAAAGGTATTGCTGGCATCTGATCGAACCACAGGCTTCTTGCCTGGGTGTCTGTCAAAAACCACATTCGGGCAACTGCACGTAACTTTCTTGGGGGAAAAACTTAAAATGCAGGCAACTTAGTGCCAAGGTTAGGTAATTAGCAGTTGTTTATCTGCTGCACTGTGCGCCATGCAGCTCACGTGATGTACAGTGGTGTGGTGCCACTCGTTTTTGACTGGTACCCAAGATTAAATAACTGTTTTGGCCCTAGAACTTGTTTAAGGGTTTGAGAAGTTGACTGGAAAAAAGTCTGCACATGGTTAATAATCAGACAAGCGCTTGCATGTCAAGGCTTGGGCCCTCCAACAAAATCCCTGCTCTTGGACACAAGCAAGTTTGGTCACCTAGATGGGCCTGAGAGAGGGCTGAAGGGAGTGCTGCTGGAGAAGGTTTCTTCCTTCCTTTCAATTTCTTCTGGTAGCCGCTGACTTTTCTTTTCAGAATCTTTTTCTTTTTACCCTGGATTTGTACTGAAGGTCTACATTTAATAGCCCTTTTTGAAGAAGGAAAACCTGTAAGACATTGAAGCAAGTTAAGAGTGTTGAAGGCAATTTTGGCACTTGTTACAGTGAACATTGGCAATATCAAAGGCCTCAAAAAAACTCAAAAAGTTTTTCTATTACAAGATCCAGCTCATAGTGGAACAGTTCTTCACTTTGTATCTCCCTCCTGCCCCCACACTTAACAGGTTGGGAAGGTACATCCAGTGCATTGTCTCTTCTGGAATTTAGCAGCACTTCTTGGTGCTTATCTGCAGTCGAAATGGGGCACGTCAAGTTTGTTTGAGAGGTACCCTGGAATCCTGGCAGAAGACTAGATGGTTCAGTGTTGGAAATGGAGCTTTTAACCTCCCTAATGGTTACTTCCACCAGTCCTCCTTCAGTCATGACCTACAGTTATTCTAGCTACAAGCTGTTCAGTGGCCTCTGCAGCAGAAGGCATTGATGATCAGCTTGGCTTCTGAAGGGCAGACTCCATATCCCAAAGGTCACCCTTTGAGTTGGTTGCATTATTTGCAGCCTCAAGAGAGGCAAGTGATTGGGCACACCAGAGAGCATTCACCTCCCACCTTGGGGATAACCCCTTCCTCTCCATTAGAGGTGTTGTTGAGGAACCTGCAACTTCTATGGCTATTCCTTGGGCTCTTTCCAGGGCCCCTCCAGGCTTCCCACCTGCAGTGCTCATGGGGATGCTGGTGCTGCTGCTAGAACAGGGGTAGGCAATTATTTCAGGCAGAGGGCTGCTCACTGAGTTTTGGCAAGCCATCGGGGGCCACATGACAGGCAGCCAGGGGCAGATAAATATTAATTTTCTAAATTTTTTTTTTAAGGGCCCTGCAGGCTAAATGGAATGGCCGGGCAGGCTGCATCTGGCCCACAGACCACATTTTGCCCACCCCTGTGCTAGCAACATTGTGGTAACTTTTTTTCTCTCATTTTTCTTCCAGGCCCTTACTATTGCGGGGTTGGAGCAGACAAGGTGTACGGGCGCGACATTGTGGAGTCCCATTACAAGGCATGTCTCTATGCAGGGGTGAAGATCTGTGGCACCAATGCTGAAGTCATGCCCTCTCAGGTATGTGTGGAAAAGGTGCTTCTTGCATGTCCTGTCAGGGTAGCAATTTCATTTAGCCAGGAGGCTTTTTTTGTGGGGGGAGACATGGGCGTCTGCCTGACGGTGCCCCAAGCATAAGTCCTGAAGTATTGTCCCCAAGGATCAGGTTCTTCCAGTCTTCAACTGCACCCTATTTACAGTTTCCTAGTACTTCTTACCCAGTAAAGAAGGGAGCTTTTCCAGTAAAACTACTTTGAAGGGGCATAGTGCATTTCTGTACTGCATCTGGTCTCCACTGTTGGAAGGTGAAAGCAGGAGTTTCCCAAGTTGCTATTGTGGCTAGATTTCCTCTCCCCTGGCTCAGTCCCTTGTCATCTGCTTATACCTGAATCAAGCAGCCCCTGAATCGGCTAAGACTTTTTATAAAGGAAAAGTTGTGACAGTCTAGCTGATGGTGCAGTAACATTTTTTAACTACTAACAGCTCTTGTGTAAATGCTCCTACTTCAGACTTCTCAAAGTTGCAATACTTATTTTTGAAGTAGCGCCTTAAATATAAAGTTCTTGCGGTTTGTGTGTAAATAAGGTGCAGTAAGCTTGTAATGAGACGTTTTCCAGCTTGCTGCTGTTTGTTGTTCTCCAGTTTGTGTGGCTAGTGATCATGGTAGCATCTGTAGATAAGGCATTGCTGCAGTGGAAGCATGAGGGGGAGAGGCTCTGCAGCGCTCCACTGAGTAGAACCAGTCCATATGCTTGCTTGGGAATGAGCAGGTGGGGAAGGATGAATTGCAGACGTGGATTTTCTGATGCCGTGTATCTGTATAACCTAGCTCTGCCCCTTCTACCAGCTGGGAATCAAAGAGCTCACAGGGAGATTCTGGCTCAGACCCCAGTTGGAAGGGAAATTGTTGGATTTTTTTTGGAATTAATTCAGGGAAGTCCTATGGCACATGTCTAGTAAGCAGTAAGGTTAGATGCTCGTAACCTAACTTTGTAATGTAGGACTATATGGTTCTAGTTCTGCTGAGGGCAGTTGTACCTAGTCTTGAACTCGATTTACTCTGCACTAAAGTGAACCTTCCTCAGCTTCCTTCACCTGGTATTTTCTTCAGTGTCCTACTTGTGGTCCTTGCAAGGCTGCGGGATGTCTGCAGATGCCATATCCCTGAAATGTATCAGTTACGGGAATCTGACTAGGCCCCTGCTTAGTCACTCAGGGAGAAGCTGCTAGCTCGAGTAGAGAGGAGGTGCATTGAGCCCAATCCCCTGCTATCATAGGCAGCCATACAACAGATAAAATCGCATATTAAAAAGTAGCTAGTTTCTGAAACAGCCATTGTAACTAGGGGTGTGATAACCCTTGCTTCACCAGTGGCTAAAAGTCTTCTAACTTCCATCTTAAACTTATTCGTGGCCAGTGTCCATGCGTTTGTTCTTGTGCTAAAGTTCCTTTAGCTTAAATAGGTCGTCTTCCTCCCTGGTGCCATGCCCCATTCACGTATGTTATCAACAGCAATCCTGCTTCCCTCGGCCTTCATTTTTTAAAATTAAAAGCCAAATTCTTTTACTTGTCAAGGGGACCTCCAATCCCCTGATCATCCAGGTAGTCTTTCCTTTAGTGGGCCTCAGTTACACTTGGTGTAATCTACTGTCAGTGGCTGAGGGAAGAGAATTATAAACCCCAGTATTCATGGCAGTGTCTTCTCTCTCCTTTTCTAGTGG